CGCGCAGGCTGCTATGCTCCAGGCCATGGGGGCTCAGCAGCACAGGCAGCTTTGCCCTGGGCCGTGGGGGCTCAGCAAAACCAGAAGTGCCACGGTGGGCAGTTCCCGTTTTGCTTTTACCTTACAAACCGACATGCTGATTAATAGAGCATGCTGGTTTGTAAGGTGCCAAATAATGCGGCTTTTACTGTATAAATATCCTGCAGGGTTAAATGTGTCCTCTGATGACAGTAAAATGACATTTTTGATTAGGGTGCAGTTCCCAGAGCTTTCTTAAAAAAATTTAAACCATGTTTACTTTCTCATCTATGATTTAATGCTTCCTTATGACTTTATTTATTTTGGCTCCAGCACATGTTTCCTGTCTTCGTGCCCCTCCCTGGTGACTGCTTGGAATAAACTCTCCCTCCTAGGTATATTGTGTTTCCTCCAGGGTTTGAATTACACTTTGACTCTTGGGGGGATCTGTGAAAATATTTGGGCTGCCCATCATTGTGCCCTAATAAAATTCCCTAGAATTCTGACCCCCTGAGGTTATGATTTTCAAATCTTGCAGAGGGGCTCTCGTCTCTTATGGGGGGGCTCAGCCTCTCCCTCCCGAGCTCCCCCATAATTTGAACCCTGGTCTCCTCCTCATATATCCTTTCTTCTCTTTATTCACTTGGTTTCCTTTTTGTCCTTCACCTGGGTTCTGTGGTCCCCTCTTCTTCATTTTTATTTCTCATTCCTCCTAGATTCTTACCTCTCCTCCCACCTTCCATGTTGCTTCCCCAGTTATCTATCTCTTTCAAGTCTTCCTCTGCCCTGCATTTTTGCTCCCCTATGCTCTCCCTTACTTCTCCAATCAGTTCAGCCAGTGCATGGCTTTCAAAGCAAAGCTTATTGCTGTCCTTGAATCTCATTTTGCAGTTGTTTAGCTCTTATGTGCATGATCTTTGGTATTGTCTGCAATGCATTAAATTCCAAAAAAGTATAGTTTCCACTTCGGAGCCTCCAAAAAAACTGGGTTCTACTGATGAAATCAGTAGAAAAGCATTAGCCTGGAATCTATCCACAGTTCAGACATGGATCTTTTATCTAGTACCTGTTAATGCAAAATGTATAAAAACTCTTGGTAGCTGGGACTAGAACCCCAGTCTCCCACCTCATAGCCCAGTACTATAGCCACTTGGCTCTAAAATAATACTCCTGCTGGGCTTTGCTCTCTAGTACCATGAATCTTGAATTCTTTGATACATGGTAGCATAACCTCCCTAAACATTTTTGTTGAGCTCATTAGAGGGGAGTGTGAAGTTTGGATTTTCCTGGTGATCCCTTTGCAAACCTTTTCAAAGTCACTTGCTCCTAGTTTTTGGTTTGGAACCACGTCTAACTGTTACTAGATTCTTTCTGTAGGCTCCTGGCTAGGGGTCTGGAGACCCTTTAATGGAAACTACTTACAGTATACTTTGGTACTCTTCAACTAATGTGATCAACTCATGGTTCATAGATTCATAGATTCAGAGGTAGGGTCGGAGGGGACCTGAGCAGATCATCTAGTCTGACCCCCTGCCCTGGGCAGGAATGAATACAGGGCTCGTATGACCCCTACTAAGTTTAAGCTCAAATGACCCCAGCTAGGTACTTATCAAGCCTCCTTCTAAAGACCCCTAAAGTAGGAGCTAGCACTGCTTCCCTTGGAAGCTGGTTCCAGATCCTGGCCACCCTGACTGTGAAGTAGTGCCTCTTGATATCTAGCCTGAACCTACTCTCAATCAACTTGTGGCCGTTATTCCTTGTTACTGCTCGGGGTAACAGGGTCTCACCCAATCCCCTCTGGTCCCCCCGGTAAGTTTATAGATGGCCACTAGATCCCCTCCCAGCCTTCTCTTGTGAAGGCTGAACAGGTTCAGGTCCCTTAGCCTCTCCTTGTAGGGCCTGCCCTGCTGACCCCTGACCATGTGAGTGGCCCTCCTCTGGACCCTCTCGATGCTGGCCCCATCCCTCCAGAAGTGCGGCGCCCAGAACTGGACGCAGTACTCCAACTGTGGCCTGACCAGTGTCACATAGAGGGGGAGGATCACCTCCTTGGACCTCCTTGAGATACATCTGTGGATGCACAACAAGATCTGGTTAGCCTTACTGACCGCGTCCTCACATCGGTGGCCCATATTCATTTTGGAATTTATAATGACTCCAAGATCTCTTTCTGCCACTGTGCTTTCAAGAAGGGAGTTCCCCAGCCTGTAGGTATGCTGCTGGTTCTTCCTGCCCAAGTGCAGTACCCTGCACTTGTCAGTATTGAATCCCCACCTATTCACATTTCCCCACCCCTGTAACCTGTCCAGGTCCAGTTGTATCCTGTCCCTCCCTTCTAGTGTGCCCACTTTGCTCCAAATCTTGGTTTCATCAGCAAATTTGAACAGGGTGCTTTTCACCCCCTCGTCCAAGTCGCTGTTAAAGAAATTGAACAGTGCAGGCCCGAGGACCGAGCACCAGGGGATTCCACTGCCTACATCCCTCCAGGTCGAATATGACCCATCCACCACCACTCTCTAGGTGTGGACCCCCCAGCCAATTTGCAATCCATTTGACTGTGTAGGCATTGATGCCACAGTCACCTAGCTTTTTAATGAGAATGGGGTGGGAGACAGTGTCGAAGGCCTTCCTGAAGTCCAGAAAGACTACATCCACTGCGACACTTGCATCCAATGCTTTTGTGACCTGATCACAGAAGGCTATCAGGGTGGTCTGACAGGACCTGCCCTTAATGAACCCATGCTGGTTGCCCTTAAGCAACCTCCCCTCTGCTGGTCCCTCCCAGATGTGCTCCTGGATAATTTTTTCAAAGAGCTTCCCCAGGACCGAAGTAAGTCTAATGGGTCTGTAGTTGCCTGGGTCCTCCCTCCTCCCTTTTTTTGAAGATGGGGACCACATTGGCCTTCTTCCAGTCTTCTGGCACCTCGCCAGAGCACCACGAGTGCTTGTAAAGCTGTGCCAGGGCCCCCGCAATGACCCCTGCCAATTCCCTCAGCACCCTGGAGTGGAGAGCGTCTGGACCTGCTGATATAAACACATCCAGCTCTTCCAGAAGTTCCCTAACTCGGTCCTCCCTGACTGTAGGCCTGGCAGAGTCACTCCTGAGTCTGTCCTGTACCCCGGTGGGGGAGAAGTCCCGGTCCCTCCTCAGAAAAATGGAGGCAAAGAATTTGTTTAAAAGGTCTGCTTTTTTATCTGGTGCAACCACCAGATTTCCAAGCGTATACTGCAGGGGCCCCATGTTGCCTGGTGCCTTCTTTTTGCTCCCTATGTATTTAAAAAAGGACTTTTGGTTGTCCATGATCCTTGTTGCTAGCTCTAGTTCTGTCTCCACCTTAGCCTTCCTAACAGCCTCCCTACATACTCTTGCTGTGGAGGTATAATCCTCTTTGATGATAGCCCCCGCTTTCACTGGATGTATGCCTCCTTTTTGGCTTTCAGATGTTCCTGAATGCCTTTGGTGAGCCAAGGGAGCTTTTGAGCACTCTTGCCCCTTTTGACTCGTGTTGGGACTGTCACCCCTTGGGCTTGGAGGATCGTCCCCTTAAGGAACCTTAAGGTTCTTCCCCTCTGCATCAGAGCAGGTGAAGCATCAGTGAGATAAGTGACATAACTCTTGTCAGGTGTGCCTTTCACATAGTGATATGTTAGATTTTTCATCCCCTGCTCTGTAGACAGCGCAGAGTCCATTCACATACAGTTTTGAGAAGAATGCAGAGAACAGGGGCGGTGCAGGGACACAAGACTGGTTCCTCTGAAAAGCACCACAAGCTATACTATTGTTCTGATTAGCAGGATAAATTTCATTTTTGCAACAGTTCTTAAATGTACCCCCTCCCATCCCAGAAGCTTGTCATATGCAAAGGGGCATATATTTTACTTGTCTGTACTTGGCTCTGGCTTCCTAACTGCTTCATCAAAAAGCTAGCAGTATCACAGTTATTTTCACTTTAACATGTGAAAGCAGATATGGGAGAGAACAAGATCCCATACATGCAGAGAGATTGTTAGCCGTATTAGGCTGAAGTCAAACAGAAGGCAAGGTAGAGGTGCATCGTATAGAAGTAACTGAATCAGAGATGCATAAGCTTTTGTGAGTAAAAGCTTGCTCCATAAATGGAGTAACTGTAGCACAAAGGCTACAGAAATTAAAATGACACAGCTGAATTGCTGCTGAAAAATAAGCCAGTCTGCTCTCAGTGATTTTTAGAATTATGCTGGCATGACTTCACTGTAGTTACTCCTGATTTATGCAAGTATGACAAAATACAGCTTAATTTTATGGACCTCGTCTTGCAGAGGCTGGTATTCTTTTAGCATCACAAGGCATCCAATTAGGTAGGTTAGCTACTTGTTTAAGAAATCCTCCAGTACACTTAAGACCCTGACTACTGCTTTAGCCCTTCCTGTCCTAGCCTCTTACCCTCACACCTAGGTCAGGAGGGTACTAAAGAGAGCACCATGGACCAAATACTGCTGGGCTGTGATTCTCATGAGAATGGTGGTATTGTAACTGGAAGCAATATAAAGCAGTCATAAGGGTACTCCTGTTCATGCTGGCCCTAGCATCAGAACCACCACTGTCTCACCTGTTTGGGTCCTATGTGAAGGTTACAATATCCCACATCATTAATTGATTTATAGGTTTTGAAACATTCTTTCTTTCTTCAGCACATCTCATTCAATTCCCCCACCCCTCAAACCATGACACTAGGTGACTCCTTTTAAAAATGAAAATAATTGTCATATCCTAAAGATAGATATCCTAATGATAGATACTAAAACAGGTAGAATGATTTCTTTAAATTTGAGATGCCAACTGCCCTAGCACATATAACAGCAGAAAACTATGAACTGAGAGTTCTTTTGAACATATGATTCTCTTCAACTGGACTATTGAATAAAAACAGTGGTTTTAAAGGTGCAAGCATTTTACATCAGTCCCAGTCTGATATTTTTAGAAGCAATTTGAATTACAGTACCTTGCAAAATACGAAATCCCACCACTGCATCTAAATTGATATCCCTGTATGTATTCTCCATGAAATAAGTTGCCTTCTCTAGAGCAGAAATGACAGCGCTCCTCATATCAGCCTCACTTTTTGACAGATTCGACTTAGAAAGAAAGATCAGCAGCAAAAACAGAGGATACAACATTGTCACTTTGCTTGCAGAAGATTGTACAACTTGTATGTATCAGTAGCTCACAGCAGCTCCTGTGCTGTGTGACTGGTAGCCTTCCCTTCCCTTCCCAATTTAACTATTTAAAGTGTGCTGTGGTCTTAGTGAACACATGCAGGCCAATTCCTTCAGTCCCTGCTTATGAGCAAAGCTCTAGTCCTTTTAATGTCAGGCACTGTGACTGACAATTTACTTCAACAGGTTAAAAACAATCCTCTGTCCTTAGTTCAGGCAGAATTCTTATTGGCTGTGATCAATAGAAAGGAATGTAGATTTGTCCACATGTGGATACAAGGGTGAAGCAATAGACAGTCACTGTGCAATTGAGCAATCACAATCTGGGCGTGTTCAGAAAGACACTGGGAAGGAAGTGCTGAGAAAATGGAGGGACCATGAGTAGGGACTTACTTAATTTGCGATTGTGCAAATGTTGTGGAAACCATGAAATCAACAAAAAAAAACTTAATAAAAACTAAAATGCTGGCTCCCCAGTGGGAGCCAGCAGTATTCATTGCCAAGAAGGGAAGGTGCCAGCTGGCAGGGTAGCACCAAGGGCACCAGACAAGATGGTGGCTGCTCCCTTGTCTCTCTTCCCCTCCCTCCCCGCTCCGGTCCTCTTGTCTAATCAGTGCCAGGGGGAAGGAGCTTCCATGCAATGAGAACTTTACACTGTGATCAACCCATGGAAATTGGTAGCTGCCCCTGCAATTTAGATAGACCCCTAACCATGAGATGTGCGCCAGAGGATGGCTGGCTATGTTCAGATGAAATCTTGTAAATCAGTTCCTCAAGAAAGAACACAGTTCTGCTGTTCACAACCAAATGTACTCCTTGTCCCTTGTAGATTCCCCTTTGCTGAATCCTTTAATTTGCAAAGGCTACTTCCTGCCACGGTGCTATGTGGCAACCTGCAGAATGCATTCCCCAAGTGGCACAGGCAGCCTCTGGCATTCAGCAGATTGGGCAGGCAGCGGAAAGACGAGGAAGAGGATCAGGGTGGCACTTGGGGAGGGCACAGGCTTAATTTGTGATACAACAGCCAAAAAAGGTTGGCCCCCATTTCTGGATGTGAGCCTGATGGCTTAGTTACACTTAGTTACACTTTTGCATGTGACTCCATTGTGTCACTGCACTGTCTGACATCATAGGAGCTACCTCCCTTATGACCAGCAGATTTTCTTTTTCAAAGAACTTTGAAAAGGGCTGGACTATTAACAGGGGAAATCCTCCTGCATACCAGTAAGAAAAGTTCACAATCCTAATTGCAGTAGTAGAAGTAGCTTTAGAAGAATCTCTTAAAGTAGTATCATAGAAAATTAGGGTTCAGAGGAACCTCAGGAGGTCATCTAGATCAACCCTGGCTCAGAGCAGGGCCATCCCTAACTCGATCATCCGAGCCAAGGCTTTGTCTAGTTGGGTCTTAACAACTTCTAAGGATGGAGGTTTCACACCTCTCTGGGTAGCCTTCAGTCAGCACCAAGGGGTGGGGCTGGGAAGTGAAGCACTGCAGTGCTTCACTATTTTCCTAGTGAAAACATTTTTCCTAATATCTAACTCAGGGGTGGGCGAAATGGCGGATCCAGCCAGCGGCCAGACTCCATCTCCTTGTAGCCCGTCTGAATTGCTGTGGCTGGTTTCCATGGAGACCAGCCCCAGCAGTGCTGGCAGGGCGCATGATTGGGTATGGAGCTGCTCCGCACTCAGGACTAGCATCTTGCAGTAGTGACAGCGTGGTCCAGAGCCAGGGAAGAGCCGTGATCCGCTGCCTGCACACCCCTGCCCGGGGCGTGCAGGCAGTGGATCACAGCTCTGCCCTGGCTCCAGAGCACACTATCACCACTGCAAGATTCAGAGCAGTTCTCTGCCCAGCCATGCACCCTGCTAGTGCTGCTGGGGCTGGTCTTCAGCTGTTGGTTGGATCTGCCATTTTGCCCATCTCTGGTCTAGCTCCATCCTTTTTGCAACCACCTTCAGGTAATTGAAGGCTGTTACTAAGTCTCCTTGTCTCCAGACTCAATAAGCACAGTTCCCTCAGTCTCTACCTCAGGGGTGGGCAATTACTGGGGCCAGAAGGCCACTTTGGGAGTTTTAGTGAGCTGTTGTGGGCCAGGTCAGCACCCACCCCTGCCATGCTGGCCCAGATCCGCATCCCCCACTGCCCCGGCCTGCAGCAGCTCACCAAAACTTCCTAAGTGGCTCTGCCCCACTGTCACCACCTGGTGATCCTGGGGTCTCTGTGAAGACCAGGACCCACATGTAGGGTGACCACCTTTTCAAAAGTGAAAGACAGGATACATGCCCACCTTCCTCCCTGCCACTGGCACAGCCGAACCAGAGCAGAGCGGAGCAGGCCAGGGGTGAGGGGGGCCGCCTGCTGCGGGCTCAGGGCTCCCCACCCCACTGTCTTTCCCTCAGGAGTCCCGCACTGGCTGCATGCTTCCTGCCTGCCCAGCAGCAGCAGGGGGCACAACTCCATGCCGCTGCTGCCCACGCTGCTGCCAGGCGGCCAGGGGGCATGTTGCCACGACAGCGCGGTCAGCACAGGGCCCCCGAGGGAAGAGCAGCAGGGTGGGTAGCCCCAGCCCACAGCAGGCAGGCCGCCTCTGCTCCTGCCCCATGCATGCATCTGGGGGGGGGCATGTGCCCACCATGCTGCCCCCTCCCATGCCTTCCAACCCCTGGATGAGCCACCCTTCTCTCACCATGGGGGCCTCGATCAGTCCCAGAGCCATGCAGCCCGGGACTGAAACTTGAGGTTCCCATTGCGGGACCGTCCCATGCATTTAGGGACAGGTGGTCACCCTCCCCACGTAGGCAGGGGGCACTCAGCTGGGTGGATGAGACGGGGTTGTGGGCAGGTGTGGAGCGGCATCCAGGAGTGGGATTGCGGGGTGGTGACGGTGCAGAGCTAAGGCCTGGGGCAGAGCCGCGATCCGCTCTAAGCTTGCCCCTGCGTGTGGAACGGGTGCTTGTGATGTAATCTTTTTTATGTAATCTTTTTTATGGTATATCTAGCTTTTGCAAACTATATCTAACTGAATACTTAAGGCAACTTACTGATGCTGGGAGGGGTGTGGCATGTGTGTGTTAAGAGATGCTTGCAGAGCACAGCGGCGGGGATGCGGAGGATTCCTGAAATGCCTCCCTAACACCAGCAGGATAGTGTCTCCCTGACACTTGTAAGATAGCAAGAAGTTCAAAAAAAGGTCTCATTATAATGCTAAAAATCACACCCCTGGGCAGGGCAAAAGTATGTTAATAAAACATATATGTATGTAAATGAAATACATGGCTAAAACATAGGTATAGAGACATGCTCAGTAGAGAACGTCTTATGTCAGTGGCTTGTAACCAATCACTGAGCGATACACTTGCAAACATATGTATAAAAGGTACCCAAAGGTAAAAACCGGTGGTGCTTGCTTTGCAAACGATTGCCAAGCACCCCTCTCTGCGCACACTGGAAACAATAAAGATTAAGTTGGATCCTCCACCCCTGTGTGTTCATTGGCAATAGCGCACCGGGCACGAACTCACACTGTCCGTTGGGGACAACACTTGTTGCAGGGACATGGGGAGTGGATCACGGCTCTGACCCGGGCCCAGCACTGTCACCAAGGTGGGTCACAATCCCACCTCATGATGCTGGCTCCAGCTGCCCATCCTGCTCCTGGTCACCACTTCCTGCCTGCCTGTGGCCCCATCCCATCCTCCCAGCTGAGTGCACCATACCCATGCTGGTCCCGGGCTGGTCTCCAGAGACCCCAAGTGTCCACTCTATCCCATGCCCTCAGCGATGGATGTAAGGCCTACCAGCCGGGGTGCCCATGCAGCAGGGCTGGGTCCAGCTGCAGCAGCCAGGAGATGCCACCACTGGGGCTACCGGGAAGCGAGTCTGGCCCCTGTGTTGTGTTGCCCCAGCCATGCTGCATGCCTGGGGACGGTGGGAGGGGCTGCGAGTGTCACAGCCTGGGCTGCTCCCTGAACCCAAGTCAGGCGGCGCCAAGGACCCGCTCGCTGCAGGCTGGATGAACTCCCATCAGCAGGTATTTTGCCCACTCCTGCTCTAACCACATGCGTTGCCCTCTGCTCGACTCTCCAATTTGTCCTGTAGCCAGCCTCTGAGATCTTTCTGCTGCCAAAACCCTCCTGATTGCCCCCATTCCCAAATGCTGGTTGAAAGTATAAGGAAAGTGTTCTGGCTTTCAGTTTTAAAACTGCTTTTTGCAGCTAACTGGTGTCTCTGGAGGGAGAAGAGCTGTAATGCTGGCCACTCCTGCCACCCTATGGATGCACAAGAGAGAGCAACTGGCCCCCAGGGCTTATACACAAGCTTGTGTGTGCTCCCATTCATCTGTGCACACATGGCTGCACGGGATAAAATAAACCCCCCCATGCGCGTACTATTGCCCCAGGGAAGCCAGGCTGCTTGGAAGTGCTGCTGCCAAGGCTGATCCTGGGGCTCCCTCATGCAAAACCTGACATTTAAGAGGCCTGGTTTGGGGGGGACCTTCTACTGAACCCGCCATGCAGGTGGTAAAGGCACTGGATGGGCCTCTGGGCAGAAAGCGCCCTTCGCTGCCTGGCTGCGGAGGACCCTGGGAGCGCACAGGCCTCAGCCCCCGGCCCGCACCACAGGGCCTGGCCTCCGGCTTCAAGCAGACCAGTGGCTTCCTGCCAGGCGGGGGAGCCGTGAGCACTGGCGCCGCCCTTCACACGAGGCTCCACCCGCAGCAGGCGCCAGGGCCGGTGCAGGCAGCGCTGCCGGGCTCGTGCTTCTGCACCGTGGCACCGCCTGCGCAATTCGGGCGCCAACCCTGTCTGAAGCTATGGGGCGTTTATCACAGGATGTAATGACATTCATGAGCTATTGCCTCAGGAAAGCAAATGCACGTCACTATTGCATTTTAAAACCCCACTGCACTGCTTTCCACATCGGGCTCAACAGTTCACACGCTTTTTACTCCACTGTGGATGCTGAACCCCGGCACGCTCCACGCCGGGGCACCGGCTGCGCGGGGGGGGTAGGGCTCCCGG